AACAGGGGAGTCCCAAGGGCCAATTTTAGCACCACTAGCCCTCCACCTCTGGGTCGCAGGTTAGAGACCTGCGAGGGGCAGTCGCCAGGTACTGGCCGTCGGTGGGAAACTTTTCTCCGGGATCTCTGTCTGGTTCCTCCACCATCAAAACCTGGCACGTCCTTAAATGACCATAGCTGTTAATAGGACATAAAACACAAACAAACAAATTTAAGAATAGACAACTCCTTTAAAGTGAAATTTTGAAAGTTTACTTATCCAAAGTCAGTTCACCAATAACTTGTATGAAGCTTTTAACTCATTCACCCCTGAAATTTCATCATGAACTATTCCAACCTTTGAATTGGAAGAGTTCAAATGTGCCTTCAGGGGTGAATGAGCTAATATTCATATTGATAGGATGTTTTGGGGCTAAGTCTTCCCAGGAACAACTTATTTTATGAAAGACAGTGGGGAAGAGAGTCTCTAAATCCTGTCTGATATATAAGACAACGGGAAAGTAGTCTCCTTTCCTTACTGTTATCTGAGACAAGGGAAAGTCTCTAAAATTTGTCAGATATTTAAAACAATGTGGAAAGGACATTTAGTCTCTAAATCCTGTCTGATAAATCAGACCGTGGGAAAGGCAATCACTTTTCCTTCTTCATATTTTAGGATGTCTCTAAATCTTTTCTAAATAATAACAATAATAATTTGAGGTTCTTATATATACCTCTTTATCTCAACTTAGTTCGTAGGTCGTCTCAAAGTGGTTCCAAATTATTATCCACGGTTATAGGGCCTTTGCAACCAGCCAATATCTTTCTCAACTCCCTGGGGAGCATATACAGCCGGTGCTGCCATTTCGGCGCTCACAGCTAGCATTCTACAATTCTAGCACTGCCCAACCACATACTCATTTACAGCTGAGTAGACTGGAACAAGCGGAGTCAAGTATCTTTCTCAAAGATACAACACAGTGCCTTGCCGTGCCATGACTCAAACTCGCAACCCGAGTTAGTGATGAGACCTTAAAATTATGTATGATTCAGATTTCATTACTTCAAAAATTTGGGTATTTGAGTTTACTAACTGCTATAATTTCAAAGGTTTGAAAATTGTTCAAAAACTTATGACTCTGGAAAATAGTAGGAATTGTTGGGAACACTTATACTTAAATTTTAGTCCTGATTCAAAATTTAGATACAGGCTAAGCTTAGGGGAAAAATCAGAAACAAAAATTACTTATGAGTCAGGGTACCGAGGGCAATTATCAGAACTAACTGGCGCTCAATAGCAACATTACAGTATATTATGTAACAAATAATTGAGGTGAACTTTTCAGATCAGATTTTGAATGCATGTAAACAAAGTTTTATTCCCAGGGTTCATTCAGATTTCATCTGACCTTTAACAGAATTAGAAGTAATAGTCGCAGCGCAAACTTTACATGTAACGGGTAATCTAATCGTACAATTGTATATAGTTAAAATCATTTATAAACTCACTCATGCTTGGGATTAGCCCACACCTTTTATAACATTAACGGGTGATGTCATTTTTCAAAACATGCTGTTGCTGGGATGGTATGATTACGCAATAAGCCTGCTTTCCTGAATGATCATGAGTTGCATTTCATTTTCTCTAAAGACTTCAACAACAGGTGGATTTTAGTTAACATAGGAAAGATATGAAATGTAGTTTGATTAAAGATTCTGCAACATAATATACGTACATTACTAGGTCTAATGGTATTTATGATACTTTTGTACTACATTAGTGTAAATTTTCTATTGTTGAGCAGAGAGTGAAAATTTCTCAAGTGCAATATAATTTATACTCATAAATTATTCAATGATTTGGGTCAGATAATACAACATATCTCTTTGACATTTAAATATGGTCACTTCCAGGTTTTGACATCTGAAATGTTCAGAAAAACATGTTTTCTCTTTATATCATGCTCTGGTTAATATCATATTTTCCTTCGACAAATGATAAGTGATATTAAGTGAAATCTACTGTATTACAATTCTCATTGTTTGGTGAGATTTTGGTTAATGATAAATATACAGTGACAAATATTGAAATTAACTTCAAATTTTCTCACTTCAAATTTTGTCACCATTAAAGGTTTATGATCAATTTTAGTATTTCTTTTTGTGATCATTAATGCGTAATTATAATTATAGCTGTCTGTATTAGATTCATGTGAAAGAATATATCACATTAAAATGCAAGATTTAGACATCCATGATTTATGGTATTGGTGAAAATAGCTGTTCAGTGTATTTTGATCAAGTCATATTTCCTTGATTGTATATACTAAAGATTATAATTATTTGCACACATTTAATTATATAATAAATAGTTTTTTTTTTTTCATTTAGACTATTAATTATTATTTTAATTTTGTAATTTGCTCTTCACACTGAGGTATAGTTTTTTCAATAAATGGAACAGCCGACAGCCCACTTGGCTGAGTACCGCCCAGCGATCTCCAACATAACAATTATGATGTCGCTATTGTAGTGATATTTTTATCATCGCATCTGTGTAATGGTCTCATAATTCACAGCGGAATGTGGCAGATTTATATAGTTTACTGTACATGCACCAAAAGTACTTTTGGATTGATACAGGTGTAGTTAAGTACGCGTCTCCGTTTTATACACAAGTAATTGACACCAGATGACGGAGGTAGTAAACAGTAGATAAAACATACGTATCTCATTCAATGAATGTCAGGAAAACACAATGCAATACACCCACTGTTCTTCTGCAGGTGGTCTTGTCAAAACAAATGATAAGCATTGATTTGTTTTCCCCTCCCACAGCTGTGTGTCAATTAGGCTCTATGCTATATATGAAATACTACTATAGACTTATAAACATGATGTATACAATGTATACTGTAATTTACCTATAATTCACTAGTGTTGTCCCAATGATCAATCATAATCGATATCTAATCGGAAAGGCAACCGATTCCCGACAATCGATTTTGAGATGTCGACATCGATGATTGTTTTCAATACCAGATGTGTGAGTTCTACTTTCATTTTCAGTAAGAGAGAATGGGAGTTCTATGTCATTTTACTCTTAACTATAACTTTTTACCAGTCATGGTATTTAAGCATAATTAATTGCAAAAAATATAAATGATAACTGTTCATCAATCAAGATTGTTGCTTTGAAATGGTATGATAAAAAATAAAAATACGAAACTATGCGGAAAAGTTGAAGTTTCATTAATGGTGTTAATAAAAGGAAAAGTCATGTCATTGTTAAAACAAAAGTCATATTTTTTAAGGATTATGTAACGGTAGGCTAACTGATTTATAATCGAAAATTGATCGGTTGACACTAACCGATTATATCCGATCATCGATGTTGAAATCTCAAACGATTCCCAACACTATAATACACCCAGGTAAACCCGTTATTAGGAATGGGGTGAAATTGGCTATAATTGGACTAACTTCTACAGATTCCACTATACATGTGTAGAATCAACTTAAGGGTTTATGCTAGCTAGATATGTACTCTAACATGCATTGTTTTTCCCCAATGAGTTCCTGGAGGTAAAGAAACCTGTAAAATTTCATTTACATATAAAAAAGAAAATGATAGATGATAAATTTCGAAACATACAGAATGCATAACACTTGGGTCTTACAGTAATTTGCCACTTATGATTGCATGTTTTGTGATAAAGAGGAAGGATTTTAAAATATGTCTATAATTGAATTATAACAAAGAACATACATAGGACCCCATTAGAATTAAGCCACAATATGGCTTTATGGGCCATCCCAGGTAAAAGGCCTAAATTAATGGAATATAATCAAGTTTGTAACACTGATTGATTACTAGTTCTATGGGCGTAAATAACTTATAAAGAACATCTGTGATAATAAATATATTTATGTTCAATCTGCAAAATGTGATAAACGTGTATTATTATTATTATTATTATTATTATTATTAATATTATTATTATTATTATTATTATTAATATTATTATTATTATTATTATTATTATAGGCTTATTTGGGGCACGGGCTCATCATTGGTAATTTATGGTAAATATGAGATCTGGCTTGACCAGTACTTAAAATGGGTATTTATCTATCTTTCTAGACCAGTCTGCAGGTGTTCACTTGTATGATATATATGGACATCTGACTAGTACAAGTTACAGTGGGGCTTTGTTGTGTCTGATATGTGTCCGATAGTGTTGATTCCAGAAGCCAATGTTATTGGGCTTTTATTAATACAAGGCATCATTTATGTGATATAAAGTGTGTTTCAAGTGTGCCACTATTGATAAATTATCATTCCAAATTATCTTTTTATGCAGTATCCTTCAAAATTTGCTATCTATTGATAAATTACTTTCCGCGATATTGCTGAATATTATACAATTATTGACCTTCCATGAAGTTACTTAGGGTAATACAAGAATTTATTAATCCAAGAAAAGTGCATGTGATATTCAGTGATTCATCTAAAATTAGAGATGTATTGATAAATTACTTAGTGTGTATATACAACAATATTATATACAATTATTGACCTTCCATGAAGTTTATACAATAATTTATTAACCCAAGAAAAGTAAAGTGGTATTCACTGGGACTGATTTAGGCAGTGTGCAGATTAAACGGTCTATTTTGATTTATTTTCATGTCCTATGAATATTAATACTATACACATACTGATTATGATAATCTATTTGCATTGGGATTTCACCTTTTCAATTCCATACGTGTTAGATATTGATGAATTCTTTTATTATTTAGGATATTTGGATAATTTCTTTTACAGAGTTCCAAAATGAAAAGATAAACTGATATTACAAGTTGCCAGGAAGGACTGCAAAACTATGTAGATACAGGCCCATTGTGCCTCTTTGTATTTTTTTGGGATGTATACACAACAATAGGATGAAAAGACTCTTATCTCTGGACAATTTGTACATGCGTAACAGTGTTTTTGGGCCATTCCCCTTCTCCGGCTATCAACATGAACTCAGTCAAGCTACATGTACAAGATAGCCACGATACTTTGTCGAACAGCTGTCTGTTATTTGAAGCCATTGTATGAACATGTGTATATATGTGCATTGCCAAAATTATAGTGGGTGATACAATATAAACTCCGATGACAGACTGGAATATTAATCTAATGATGTCATCAGGGAAATGTTGTGGCACTGGCCGTCGTTTTCTTGCCTGTTTTGCATGTGTGATATCATGACTGTATATCTTTTGTGGTTTAGTAAGCAATTAGCCAATTTGGTTATATTTCGTGCTCGAGTGCGAAGCAGTGGTCAACATTCACTTGAAACGAGGGAAATCTTTTGATAGTCGTAGCCGCGACGAAAGTGTATATATGGAATATTACAACATTAATGCAATGATTGATAAATAAAGGGATGGCAGATATCGATCGAGTTGATAGAAATGGTCAGACACTGGATGTCCATGTACATTTTGTAGAACGATCATGCTAATTACATGTTTATGTACTGCGTAAATGATTCATATCAAAATAATTTGGAAATCTGAGACTTCATGGTGTTTTAAACTGAATTAGTTTGCTTTATTTCTAAAGAAACCAGTGTAGGATCATGACGGATGTGAGAAAAAGTCCAGTGATTCTGCTTATTCATTGGATTTGTGACTTATCAAAGGATGAAGATCAAATGCTGTGATATAGTGGATCATTATTTCAATCAAAGTGTCAACAAAATATCGTTAAAAAAGGTCAACAAGGATTAATTATAGGAGTGTTAACTTTGATTTGTGAATAATGAAATAAGTTAGAATCCAAGTGGATCGGAATTTGTGAACATCCAAATAAAGTAAAATTCCAGTGGATGCTTATCTATAAATGCACATGTCCAAATAAGGTAAAATTCCAGTGGATGCTTATTTGTAAATGTTCAAATAAGGTAAAATTCCAGAGGAAATAAGGTAGAATTCCAGAGGATGCTTATTGGTAAATGTCCAAATAAGGTAGTTCCAGTGGATGCTAATTTGTTAATGTCCAAATAAGGTAAAATTCCAATGGATCCTTATTTGTGAATGAAGTGGAACTAAAATGGATGCTAATGATTTGTGAATGACCAAATAAAGTGTACTAACTCAAGTGGATGATATAATTTGTGAATGAATATGCACCAGTATTATTTAAAACGTCACGGATGAGGAGAGGAGAATGATGTCATTGATTACATCACAAGACACCCATGTGCATCATGAGCATCCATTCTGTAAACACTGTAAAATTTGTCACCAGGCACGGTACAACCGACGATTCGGCCGCATGTCCATGGTCATTCCGGACACGGTCCAGTGGTGGCTCAACAGCTGGACAATTCCGGGGTCGCTCGAGTCCATCGCAAAGGTGCCCACTATTCCATATAAGCATGTCTTATGCATGTTCCTTTGTTTGGTTTGCGAACCTTTAACGCCTCGACCCTTGATCCTTTATAGGAAATCCCACATGATGGTATTTGATTCTTTTCAATTCATAATAGCAGCATGGTCATTTTGTTAGCTTTTGTTTTTTGCCAAATTGTCTTCGTGCTTTGACAGACATATGTTGTAATTATAGATTGTCTGTGATTACAGAATTATAGATTGTCTGTGATTACTGATCATGTTGGCATCAAAAACTTAGTAAAACCTGTCAAATCTGAAACCCTGAGGGACACATCATATTAGTCAGATAAGACAGGATATCTGATAATTCAGGTCTTATTTGGTTTGTTATCTTGAACTAGACAAAAGTGTCAAATTAATCAGGGGTTGGATTAGACAGGCTGTAGATTAAATAATCAGGGTTCAATTAGACAGGGTTTTGAAATAAGCAGGAGCTGGATAAGACAGGTTTAATTACAATTGATTAGATTATATGATAGCAAAATATAAATCTGTTAATCCAACATCATTTATGATCATTCATTTCCTCAATGCTAGATTCTGTTGACGCTAGTTGTGTCATATTTTAATTTTATAAATAAATAAGCTTGTGTGTTATAGCCAGATAAGAATGTTATTTGTATTGATCGTTAGCCATTTCATCGTATTTACTAATATACTCCCTTTATATGTGTACATGATATATAGAACTGCCTTTAGCCATTTCATACCAGTATACAAGAACCTGGATGACAATTTAAAGAAAAATGTAGCTTAAAGCCCACAATATGCTTGCATTGTACACCCTTTCAAGAAAACCTGGTTTTGCAGAGCTGTTAGCGGGTGGTTTATGGTTTTCTTTTTTTGCTTTCCTTTTGTTTTTACTTTTGTCTTTACTTTTGTTTTCGATGTCTCCATGCTTTGACATTTTGTTTTCTGTTATTATCGGTGGAATGTATTGAAGCAGTGGTATATCTTAGGGACAAATGCGATACAATTTTGTCACCTGTGTTATTGTGTATTACATGGAAACATAAAAGCACACGTACCGTATTCAACAAACAAGCACTCCATCCCTTGTAAGTGACACCTATCATTTTTCTGGTCAGCCTCCCTTTCCGTCATCGTAATTTCACCATCTTACTTTAATCAATATTTATTAAAGGTTTTATATTTGAGAATTTTGGAAGTTTCTGCAGTTATTTTTCATTTTTCAAAATTATGAAGTGCCGGGGGGGGGGGTATTCATTAGGTTGAATATGATTAGAATGAATAACATGCGTGTGACTGGTCTGTCTGGTTTGTCACATGCAAACGAGGATGTCAAAGCTGTCACACGAGTTAGAAACATACATGCATATAATTACATTTCTTTTTTTAAAGAGATTACGTCAGCGGACATATTATATCTGTTGTCTTAATAACATTGTCTCATTTGGCCCTGTATTAAGGATGCATGCTACATTTCTCTTCACTAGAGGGAAACTTGCTTTATGTATTTTTGATTATAATTTGTACATAGTTAATTAATGAATCAATTAATAACACTTAATATTTATGATCACGCTTGGGTACAGTGTAAATAGCAGATAATGCATAGTAAATGTTTTAAAGGGAGATAACTCTTGACACATATAAAGGGTTTAATATTTTACTCATTCACCCCTGAAATTTCATAATGAACTATTCCAACCTTTGAATTGGAGGAGTTTACATGTGTCTTCAGGGGTGAATGAGTTAATTATAAGGTACATGTAGCATGTGTTATTAATATATGTTGATACCACTGATAATATTCCTGGGCCTTGTTAAATCAGCTTCACCATTTTAATTATAATGATACTTCAAAGGAAAAATTTAATGTGATATTTTCATAGTAATTAAATTTGTAAATTATAAATTGTTTTTATCTTGATATTCAAAATGAAATTGACAGATGCTATACCTGAAATGCTGCAGAAATACAAAAAAATCATATATAGGTTGCAGGAGTTTTTAAGTGAGAATTACATTTTGAAAAAAATTGTAACAATTAAGTAACATGACTGTTAGTTCATTGAATAAGTTAAATCTCCAAGAATGAGTCGTAATATTTTGCGTGAAATATATTTCTTTGGCATGTCTATAGTAAATAAGCAAACAATTCAAAGTCAGAAAATTTTCAAATAAATTGGAACTCTTCTTTGTTGGAGATACAACGCAGAGCAGTGGGACTCTCTGACCTTAAGTTAACAATGCTTTTGCAACTGTATATTCTGAGTTTATATACATACAGATGTGGCCACATGATGATGTCGCAATCAATACACATTTATCTTCAGCAGGTACATACCTGTATTTCTGTTTATGTAACAGTCTAATATCAATTGACATGTGCGGCATGTTTGTCAGTTACGCTTCCTTATGTAGAAAAGATATAGACACCTGAAACCAAAGGGGCATAACTCCTACAAGACTGAATGTATCTTAATGTCACTATAGGCATGCTATTTACATAAAGACATTTCATTTTTCTCTGCATTGAGATCATATTGGTTTAACAGGACAGTATACTAGTCACACAAATAACGGGGTTGTTCTAATTCCCAACATGCTGATTTTGACATGAGAATGCACAAACATATTTATATTGTCCATGGCTACAGATTTAGAGATATAATGACCCCAAGCTAGTCTTCTGCTGGTCTTGGTGAATATCTCACAAATCTTGGTTACCATTGCACCCCTAAATCTCTTCAGGATAAATTCTTCCTGTATTTTGAATTATACATTAATTAAATGTTTAATATATAATTTATAAATGTGTTGGATCTAGTCTGGTACTTCCTGATCAGACCTCAGTGACCAACAGGTATCACAAAACAATTTTGTTCCAAGAATGTCTATAACTTAAATATTCCAAAGTTCCACATTGCTTAACCCTTTCACCCCTATGTAACCTTAGTAGACTCTACCATGTATTGATATGGTTGAGTCCATTATGGTCTACAGTGGTGAAAGTGTTAAATGTTCTAAAGTTCCACATTTCCTCTCAAAGGTGCTAAAATGTTCAAAAATTCCACATTTCTTTTTAAAGGTGTTTAAATATTCCAAAGTTCCATATTTCCTCTCAAAGGAACTGTTGTTTAGTCAAGAGGTGATATTAAAACATACATCCATATTTTACTCTTTGAAGGTATATATACAAAATAAAAAGGCCCACAGTGGCATAGTGATTAAGGTGTCTGACATCTATGATCACTAGCCCATCAAGTCCCGGCTTTCCTCCACTACCAAAACCTGGCACATACTTATATGACCATAGATGTTTATAAGACATAATATAAAGCACAACCCCCCCTCCCCCCNCATGACCCCTAGACCTTTCTGCAAGTTCTTGTGCTTCTTCAGGTGGACTGATGTTATTAGGGTTTTCCATTTCGGATGGAAATCCCTATTGTTTTCGTTATGTTTTTTCTTACTTTTCTTATTTCCACAGATCTTGTTATCACTTTATCTCAAGAACGAACAAAGATGTAACGTTCACATATCAGCACATGATAAAGGACAACGATCTCATGACACTCGAACAAAATCATGATAATATAGTTTTGAATATTGTTATTGTTGTTTTCATATAAAAAAATTCGCAAGAACTTGTTTATTTATTATATGGTACCTGCAGCTTAAACATTTATGTTTGTTCAGTAAAATAAAAATGAATATCATTCACTTGATGTTTTTAATATTAGAAAATAGATGTGCCTTTCTGGTATATGCATAGAACAATCCTTTGTCTCCATATCTCATGCATATATATGTACATTAAACATTTTGGTTGCCATATATACACACCTGTAAAATTTCCACCTGTCTGGTTTTACCTGGATTACCTAGGTGAGGATCTACTACACTTCATTAGTTACTTTACATCGCCTAATTGCAAGGGACAGTGTCGTGTCGTTCAAATCCATCCTTCAAGTTTCGCTTCCCACTTCAGATAATGTTGCCCAACAACCACTGGTGCAATCTGATGTATAATACAGACAACTTCTAAAAAACCAGCAGCTTCGATCCTGGTCAGTCGTGATGATATTTCTACAACTAAGTTATTGCATCTTGAATTCTATGATGCATGGGCATGTGCACATACAATTTGGTGCATTCGTCGATTCATTGATAATAACATTTTAATTATTCAATATCATGGTGTTTGCAAAAACGATGCGGAGTCTGAGGAATTTACAGTGGGGCAAGCACAGCCTATTAGTTGTAAGTGTTTAGAAGTTTATCTAAGAAAATTTGTTTGTTTACGTGTTTGGCTTCTGAACAGGATAATAATGGTGTCTAAGTTTGATGATGTTGCCAATCATGAGCTATTTAAAATATTTATTGATATATCACCTAGTAAAATTGATATTTTTTTGCATGACAACTAAATTACTTGATCCAAGGATCATAAAAGTTTTTGTCAATGCAGATTATCTAATAATCATTACTATGTGAAAATGAGATTTTGCAAGCATATAGATGTGTACATATTATGTTAATATTGAATTCTTCTACAAATTTGAAATGATTTCCCAACAGAAAGGCTTCTTTTATGAAATTTGAACTTAAATATTCTGAAAGCCATTTATTATGTGAACCAGCGGTACCCAGAAAGACACCATCTAAGGGAAAAGTGGAAATGGAACATCATTAAAGGTGCAATTGTAGATCTGTCTTAGAAGGAACGTAGCTCAAAAATTAGTTGGGGCGCAGTAATTTTGAGTCATACACGCTTTCATAGTGAAATGTTACATTAGTAATAATAATTTGAGGTTCTTATATACCGCTTTGTCACAACCTAGTTTGTAGGTCGTCTCAAAGCAGTTCACAAATTATTATCCGTGGTTATAGGGCCTTTGCAACCAGCCAATATCTTTCTCAACTCCCTGGGGAGCAAACAACCGGTGCTGCCATTTCGACACTCACAAATAGCATTTTACAATTCTAGCACTA